TCCCAGCAAGGGCAGCTTGGAGGAGCAGCAGGTACAGGCAGCCTGGGGCTTAAGACTCTGGCACCTTAGCTGCCTACTGTGCTTGCCACAGGTGTGGCCCATCCAGACCTAAGAGGCCAAGAATTCAGGAGTCACAAGGCCTGCGTGGTACTTGGCTTTTAGCATCAGTGTGTGGAGATAGCCTGGTCAAGGACACAAGCTCACACATCCCTATGGACACCTGGGCAAACACTGCTGGCCACTCACCATAGTTCTTCCTGCCTAAGAGGGTCAGTCCCACTAGCAGGGTCAGAAGATGTCTCTCTGTCACTCCCTCGATAGAATTCCCCAACCACATGACATATCATGGTGTAACCACCTTGTCTTTCTGACTTGTGAAATTTATAAAACCCAAATCACATTTGCTTACATGTCTTGTGAGTCGTGGTGAAAAAAATAAACTTCACAGAGTTGAAATTGTCCTGGAGAATCTGCAATTTGGAGTTCTGGCAATTAGACTTGGTACTCTAAGAAGTTACTACCTTCTGGGAGTAAGGAATGGGCTTGTTAGTTATCTGAAGGTAAATCAAAAGTGATGTTAAAGGTGAGAAATATTTCATTAACTTGTAATGACTAAGAGAGGTGGCAGTGTTTATTTTAGAGGAGCTAAAATCCAACGCCCCTTTCATAAACAATATTTAAGTCATTGAACTGGAAATATGACACTAATTTGTTCTGAGCTCATGCTTTAGTGAGCTGATATTCTCGTGTATTTAATTTGAAATACATTTGATAAATAAACTATTACAAATAGAAATTGAGTATAAATGATTTTGAAGTTCCAAAATTTGCTAATTAAGATTATGGTCTCTATTTGGTTTTTAATTTCTTAAGCTGTATTGGCTGCCTATGGTAGCATTTTGTATTTCTCTAAAATGGGGAAAATTCTATGATGGATCCCAAAGATCAGCAGCAGTCAAAACCCAGTCATTTCTGTCATCCCAAGCAGTCTAAACCCTAACAGTAGCTCCTGACACTCAGTCCCCCATCCTATGCACAGAGCTTGTGAGGGGACAAGGGTCCCTCTGATGCCCTGAGGCATTACAATCCAATCAGGTGTCACCATCACTGAGTCACATGGAGGGGGACAGTGGGACCATACAATACCCATCTCACAGAGAGGCTAAGGAGAGCCACTGGCAACAACAGCTGCCCTCCCTGATAGGCTGGTGGCTGGGTGTTGGGGATGTGGCAGCTGCCCAATGCCCCTAGGCACCTTAAGCATCTGCCTTGCTGAGAGAGGAAAAGGAAAGGCACTGTGAGGGCCACACTCCTGTGCCTGAATCCCTTAACTAAACAAAACTAAGCCCACGCCTGAACTGGCACCCTCTCCCTACTGCCCCCTGCCTGTGTGCTTGCTCTCCTCACCTGCGGTTGCCTCCACTTCCCTGGCCCCTGGACTCCAGCTACTCCGCTCCTGAATGTGTTGTTGAGGAGCCCTTAACACTTCGTTTGTAATTGCAGTGATCAACAACCTAAAAAATCCATGATAAGCCATGTTAAATTGATAGGATGATCCAGAAAGATATCTGATAGATCAACTTAACAAAACCAAAACTTTCTTTTATATTAAAAATAGCCATATAGGGCCAGGGATTTAGCTCAGTGGCATAAGTGCCTACCTGGCAAATACAGGGTCATGAGTTCAATCCCCAGTACCAAAAAATAAAAATAAAAATAGCCATATATAAGACATAATAGAAGATGTAATTCAAAATGTCAAAACTATACAATACCTACATATAGGCTTAAAAAATCTTTCCTATAGCCTTATATAAAAAATTAAATTTGACTGAAGGATATAAAAGTGACTCTATTGAAAAGGGAGACCTAATATGTATGTGACTAGAACAACTCTATGTTGTGAAAATACAACCTCTTCCCCAATTAATCGATACCATTAATATAGCCCAAGATGAAATCTGAATGGATTATTACGGAGCTTAAAGTTGATTCTAATATTCATCTGAAAGACAAAACAAGCAATGATAGTTCATAAACCTTTGAATAAAAAACAGTTTTCAAGCCTGCTCAAAAGAAAATTAAATGGGGTAGAGTCTTTTCTATGAATGGTTCTAGGATAACTTGATATCCATATGCAGGATGAAGTTGTACTTCTACTTCAAACCATATGTAAAAATTAACCCAAAATGAATTATGCATCTGAATGTAAAAGCTAGGCCTATAAAACTCTTAAAAGAAAACAGGTATAAATCTTAGATAATGGTTTCTCACTTATATCCCCAGAGCATAAGCAACCAAAGAAAAAATAAAGTGGGACCTTTTTTAAAACTTAGAGCTTCAAAATACACAATAAAATAAAAACCCACAAAATCAGAGAAAATATTTTAAGTCACATAAGAGTCATAAAAGATTAATATTCAGGATATATAAACTGTTCCAGTTTAATAATAGAAAAACTATCCAATTAAAAATAAACAAAACATTTGAATAGAGATGTCTTCAAATCATATGTAATACTGCTTAACATCATCATTAGTCATTATGGGAATGGAAATCCAACCCACACTGAGATAGCACTTCACATCCTTAGGATGCCTATAATTCAAAGGATTATCAATAATAAGAATTGGTGAAGATGTAGAGAAGTTCAATCCCATATACATTGCTTGTGAGACTGTAAAATGATTCATTTACATGGGAAAAGGTAAAACAGCTTGGCCGTACTTTAGAGAGTTAAAGTTTCTGTAAGATCCAACAATTCCACTTCTAGGTATATATACATATACCTACTTTAGTGTGTAACCAAGAGAACTGAAAATATATGCTCACACAAAATATTATATTTAAGTATTCCTGACAGCATTACTCCTAACAGCAAAAAGTAAAAATAATGCATATACCCACCAGCTGAGGATTGATAAGCAAAATGCAGGATATCCATATTATGGAATATTGTTTAGCAGCAAAAAGAAATTAAGTATTGATACTTTCTACAACATGAATGAACCTTGAAAACATTAGGCTAAGTCAAAGAAGAACATCACAAATTGGATTATCCCATTAATATGAAATGAACAGAACAGGTGACTCTATAGAAACAGAATAGATCAGCGGTTGCCAGGAGCTGGGAGACAGGCAATGAAAAGGAGCTGCTGACAGGTTCCAAGTTTCTTTTGGGGGTGACAAGAATGTTCTGGAATTGATTACATAGTGGCAATCATTTTACAAGATCATGGGATTCAGCAATGGAAGAAACTAGGTGTTACAAATACTGTAAACAAGGTACCACAACCTAATGGAATGGCACATTTTAAAATGGTGAAATTTGTGATGTGGGAATTGAATCAATTTTTAAAAGAGCACTTGTTCTATCAGATATTAAAATGTGATCTAAAATAATTACAATTAAAGCAGTGTAACACTGGCACAGTATCAGAGAAATGGGGGATAGCCTCAGAGGACTGACGTACAAAAGTGAAGCCACAAACATGTTTCAGGTATTGAACACAGAACCCTAATTCCACTTCTAGGTATATTTACTGAATCCTAAGCCACTGAAAAAGGACAAATTGGGTGAAGCAGAGCTGGCTCCTAACTTACAGGGAAAAGCCAGATTCCAACCCCACACTTCCCAGTAGTGAATAAATTCCAGACAGATTAAAGAACTAATTGCAAGACTATAAAATTATAAGAAAACCATATCTGTGATCTTGAAGAAAGCTGCAGAAAGTAATTCAGAAAGATGAATTAACTTGAATTTATGGAAGTCAGAAGCTCTGAAAAACTAAAAAAGGTCATAAGCAAGCTTAAAAGACATTTCCCACATTAAAAAGTAAAATATTAATACCATAGATATCATATTTTTATATATAAAAAGCTTCTGAAATCAATAAGAAAAAGTCAAACAAAATTACAAATGTCCCTAAAGCCCTCCTCGCTCCTGCCTTTCACTACCTTTTAGATGACCCCAGAGGCTTGTCCCCTACTTTGTGACAATGAAATCACTTTAGCCCCTCTCTCATAGTGTTAGCTGATCTCCTCTGTCATTCAAACCCATCTGGCCCTTTTTTTTCAGCAAAGTCAACTATGGTCTTGTTGGGCAGGACAACTGAATGCTAAGCCTTGCCCTGGAAAAGGTGAATTAATGTTGTCATGAGACAGGAAGAGTGAGCACAGGCTGAATCTGAGTGTCCACTTTGTCCTTCTCTGTGGGGACCCTAATGCATGCAGAGGACCTGAATGAGGAGGGCTGTGTATGCTCCGTCATTTCTTGCCAGTCAGCTGCTTAATTGGGGCTGCAGCATAACCTCTGTGCAATAATAAAATTACCCTTGAGTCTGGACAGATATCCATCTTCACTAAGGAAGTGTCGTGCTGTGGTTTCTTTTTGCAAGCAGTGACATTATTAAGGAACAGAAGGTTGCAGGCATGTCGCACAGGAATTTTTGGCTTTGATTTAGAAGACTATCCTATCTTGCCTTCCTGCTGAGGCAGGCTTTCAGCTCTCCACTGGTAATTCAGTGAGGTTCCCTCTTTCTGTCCTCTTCCGCTTCCCCCCATCTGCTTTTTATGTTTCCATAAGCCACAGATTCAGGCCTCATTTTATTACATTTCTCAGTGTTCTTGAATACCCCATACAGGTCCTCATCTCATTACCAAAGACAGTGAGCATGAGGGTAAAATGGTGATGTCAACATGATTTGTTCTGCTGCTGGATTTTGTAAAGCACTGCATCAGGGCTCTGCTGGAGGATGTCAGAGAGACAGGAATGGAACTGATGCATTTTAAACCCCATTGATGTTCACTGAGCAAATCAGATACTCTGACCATAGATCTTGGCTAGGTCACATTAGGTTTAGCATTACCTATTAAGGCTCTTCATGCAGTATTTCATGCAATATGGCTAAAGTCAAGTGGAAAAAAATTGAAAACAATTGACTTATTATAAGTGGACAAGAAGATATTATTACTAAATCAGTCTTTGTTATCTCTTTTAGGGTCATTGTTACTACCATGGACATGTGCAAGGATATGATACTTCGATGGTCAGTCTCAGCACTTGTTCTGGTCTCAGGTAAGTGACCATGACCTTGGCAGCTTGGATCTGAAGCACAGATGACCTTCATCTTTTCCTCCTCATTCGAAAGCACTGGGAGAGAGTATTGGGTCTCCAAGCACAGTGGCCCCTTGTCCTAGGTAAGGTGAGGAAGCCTTTCACGACTATTGGCAGCAACACAGCTTACTCAAGACCTTAGCTTCTCTCCACTGCTTCTCTTTGAAGGCCTTTTTCAGGCCTGCTGGGCCCGAGTTTCACAGCCCAGTGTTGTGGGAATTATCTTTCATTTCTGTGCCTCAGAAGCCTAATAACTCCCTGTTTAAAAAGATAGGGTGGTACATATTAACACTGTAATTACTGGATTAATAAAAGCTTAAATGGCCTCCTTTTATTAGAAAACAAACAAAGGAATTAATTTAACAATATCCAAGGTGAGTGAATACAGGCATGCATTTGTAGGGGTTTACTGCTGTGCTGTGCTGCGCTGCGCTGTGCTGCGCTGTGCTGGGCTGGGCTGGGCTGGGCTGGGCTGGGCTGTGATGGGCTGTGCTGGGCTGTGTTATGCTATGAGCACAGTGCAAAAAACAATTACCTTTTGTTTCTGGACAAGCCAACCTTAGGATTTCCTCACAGCCCTCTTCCTTCCAAATCACAGTTGTTAGCCATCAGCTGGCTCTTTCATGCTCCCCAGGAAAACCATTTGTCTGACAAGTTTCCAGCTGCCTCAGCCTTTTAACTTAGCTTATTTATTGAGTTTGTGAGCTATCAGCTTGTATCCTCAAAGTCCTGGGTGGTTTGGGCTCATGGACCAGGAAGGAAGAGAGACAGAGCTGGAAGAAAGGACCAGCTTGAATTAAAAAGCAAGATTGTACTGTGTATGTCTGTAGTATTGTAATGCCCTTGTGAGTTCTGGGGGGTGAATAGGGACACACAGCACACACTCTAGTACACATTCACAAAGCAACATAATACAGCCTCACTGTGCATACGCCAGTGATGCCATCATGCAGAGAGCACAGCACAGGTGCACAGCACACCACTCCACACACAGCATGGTATCTTCTCTGTCCCATCCTGAGATTCGCCTTTCCGATCAGCATCTTTGGTTCATGAAGGGCTATAAAGCATTTGACAGCTATAAAGCATCCCATTTGACAGATATGTCACCTGTTTTCTCCTCATTCCCACATGAGGGCACTTAAGTGATTTCCAGATGTTCTCAAGTGAACCCAACACTTTGCTCACTGCATGACCCTGGCAGTCTGTCCTGTGAAGCTCTCGCAGTCTGTCCTGCCTAGAATTCTGCAGAGGAGGTTAATGAAAGAGAAGGACCGCAGTAAGGAGTGTGCTGCCAAGCACGGTCCTGCCACTTTGTTCTTCAAAGACTGCCTCGATTTCCTCTCCAGCAGCAGGGAGGCAGAGAATGACTCTCACTAACACCCTCCATGTGAACATGTCTGGCTTATGTTTAAGCACTTACTGTTGAAATCCAGGGCTATGCAAGCAGAATTGTTCCTTTTACCCTCTTCATCCTACTGCAAACCCACTCAGGTAAAAATGACAACAAACTGGCAACTAACCCTAACCTCCTACCCCTCATTCCAAGCATGTAAAGCAAGATCAGGAATTGGAACGTGTGTTCTTTTGTTGTTACAGGAATAATCAGACCATACACATCACTCTTCATCTTGGTTTTGTTACCTAGTCCTATCTGTCGCTCTGTGTCAGAAGATATAGACCAAAATCATTGCACAAATACAGCACACACATGTGCACACAGCCTTGCTTTTAAAAACCATTTCTGATATCTTATTTATAGACACCATTGCACTTTAACATGTCTGCTACTCTGAGAGTGAAGAAGACACCTTGTTTGAATTTGTTTCTCTCTAGGTTCTGTTTTATTTAGTAAAGCTGCTTTGAGCACATCTCTGGTGCCAGCACTTCCTAGGTCTCGGGGAGTCAGCAGTGAACTCCAAGAGTACATTCTAGGAGGTAGCAAAAAACAGAGTGCATGTGCGACAAGAAGGACCAGGAAAGGAAGGAAGCTGAGGTGTGGAACAGGAAGCACCAGAGGAGGTCAGAGAGCTTTGAAAGGAAATAAGACCTGCCCTCAGCCGTCAACAGGAAGCTTATTTCTGGCCAAAGAACAGCATGCACACAGCCTTAGCACGCAGTAACAGGTGGCTGGTGTAGACAGAGGGGAAGGGGACAGACAGTGGCGGAAGATGAGGTCAGTGGGGACACGGAAAGGCAGATCATGTGGGGGTATGGAGGGAGAGCACGTGTCCTGGACCCCTTGACTATGCTGGGTGCTAGGAAAGCATGACGCCCAGGTGACACGGCCTGTGTTAAGGTTTCCACAGGGCTGCTCTAGCTTCCAGGTAGAAGGAGACTGTGGGTGACGTGTACAGAGCAGGAGCTCAGTGGGGAGACTTTGCAGCGATCTCAGGCAGAACAGTGGGGCCTGGACAACAGTGGCAACTGTGGGCATGCCAGCATCTAGCAGTGTCCCTGAGCGTGTTAGACACAGCTGCCTTTAGTAACTTTTGCTTGTGTGAGACAGCCACTTCCCCAAGGGAGTGTAGGAAAAGATATGTAAGAGCACCAAGTTGCTGTGACTACGAGGAAGATGGGGGTGTCTGTGGCCTGGCAGGGTCTCTGATACATGCACAGCCCCTGTTACACATGCTGGACGCTCAGAGGAGAAAAGCTGGATGTAACCAGGGAGCAAACAGAACAGCTGCTTGTTCTCAAGGAGTGAGGTATGGGAAGGAGGACATTTAAACAATGAAATGTTGTCTCGGGAGGCTGTAGGGAGGTAGTGACTGCAGCGGTCAGCCACATCTCAGCTTGGGGATGGAGATGCCAAGAACATTCTGAAAGAGGTTTGGTTGGGGCAGGATCTAAGGAGGGACCATGAGTCCCAGTGGGAAGGCTTAGTGCAAAGGATGTGGAATGGAGTTGTTAGAAGATTTAAGAGTTTCTGAGGGAAAGACCTAGTTTTCATGAAAAACCAGAGCCAGGGCTCCTGGAGGAGACACAGGGATGGAATGAGGGCAGATGTGCAACATCTGGAATGAAGGTAAAGGTCAGGATGGGTAGACTGAGACCAGTACACAGAGTACAAGAGCCAGGTAGTGGACTGACTGTGAGGCAGTTATCAAGCGGCTGATCTTTCTGAGCTCCAGTTCTTAATTAAAATGGAGATAAAGTCTAACTAAGCTGGTGATTTTGATGATAAATGCAGTCACCTGTAGACTCTTCCCTGTGCCTATCCCTAGTGAAGAGCTGATTGAAAACCCTCAACCTCAAGGTGAACATATTAGCTCATGACTGTAATCACAGCACTCTGCGAGGCTGAAGCCAGAGATTCCCAAGTTTGAGCCCAACCCAGACAACTTAGCATTTACACTCTGTCTTGAAACACAGAGTAAGGAAGGGTATGAGGCTGGGAATGAAGCTCAGTGCAAAGGCCCTGGTTTGAATCCCCTGTATCATCAACCAACCAACCAAACAGCCAAACAAATGCCATTCTCGTAGGCCAACCTCTCATCCTTCTGGACCAGTACAGGAAGTATGGGTGTGTGGCACTCCTGAGCTAATTCTGGGCAAAGCTACACTGCCCTTTGGGGAGTCAAGGGCAGGATGGGCAAGGCCATGGTGCTGAGGAACACACACAGGTGGAAATCAAAATGACCTGCTCCTGGGTTGTATGAAATGTGCTTGAAATCGATTCTCTTACCCACACATGGAAAGGGGAAGCCCATGCTATCGTGGTGTGTCTCTCTAGGGCCTGAAAGATGGATCTGTTTGTTTAAGATCATTTATTGAAGGCTGGGTATTTTCATGCTTCAATTTAATGTGAAAGTCAGTCTCTTTTAAAAAGGAGATAAAAAATTAATTCAAGCTAGATATAATCAAAACAAATAACATGAAGATAGATTTTTGCTACTGAAATATCCAGATGGCTCCAGGTATGGTTGGACCTAGGGTCCCAGCTGGTATAATCAGTCTATTTGCACACTCACCTGTGTTCTCTCTTTTTCTTCCTTTCTCCCTCTCTCACTCACAGGCACTCTCTCTCTCTCTCCTCCTTTGTCCTCTTTTTGCAATATTTTCATCCTTATCTTGATGACCATAGACTAGGGTTCTTAAACAATAGAAATTTATTTTTTACATTTCCAGAGGCTGAAAGTCCAAAGTTAAGATGCCAGCAAGATATGTTTCCATTGGTGTTCTCTTGGCTTGTCACTGGTCCCATCATGCTGTATGCTTACATGACTTCTGATAGGGACAGAGGGAGAAAGCTTATTGCTTCTTCCTCTTATTCTTTTTCTAGGATTCTCCCTCAATATCTCATCTAAACCTACTCACCATCCAAAAGTCCCTCTGATACCATCATATTAGAGATTAGAAAGATTGGTGGTGTGGAGACAAGCATTCAGTCTATAACAGGCATGGCTAGTGTACTGTATGGTATTATATTTTGGTAAGAGAGGCTGCCAGCCATGCTTGGTTCATAGTCTCAGATGTCAAGCAAGAGAACAAGGGCTTTTCTTCCAAGATCACCTCAAGTCCTCTAAGTGCATCTGTTACTATCTTTGCCTGGAAATAGTTCCAGCAGTTGGAGGAGGTATCATGCTCTGGCTCAAGTTCGGTGTCTGCCCCTTGATCTGGCAGAGGGAGATCTGTACTGAGCCCACAGGGCGGGAGCAGGGAAAGAGTAAATGCCCCAGAGAAAAGTGGTGAGCTTTTGCCAGTAAAATGACAGATGAGAATGAGAGACACTCAGGAGCAAATAGTCCTCCTCCAGCAGTAGCCCTGAGGATGTGGGGTTCTCCAAGATGGGTCTCATTTTCAGGGGATTTCTACCAGAAAACTAAATTCCAAATGGCTAAAGAGAAAACGTGTCTCCTGGCAGCTCCTTTTTACTGTCAATAAAGAAGTTTTGAAGCAGTGCTGTTAACCAGTTAGATAACACCTGGGTCAAATATCCTCAGAGTGACATCCGAACA